CGTGATCGTGTGCAATGCGTTGTTGGACTTGGTGAAAATGCCCAATCAGAATTTAACTTGTAAGTTATATCGTCTTGAAAGTCGAAGAAGAAAAGTCTATTCCCCCCCCCCCCTTATATACTGCAGTACAAAACCAAGACCTTCAGTCCAATAATGAAAGTTGGAGAAACAGTAAGGAAGAAAGTAAAAGAAAGAAGGAGGATCGTTCCACCTGTTGAATGCACAACTGTTCAACCTCAACTCCCTGGTATAGGTGGTGACCTTAAACTGTAGTGGTGAACGTAGTCAACGGAAAAAAACCGGTGCTTGACCATTATAGGCAAAAGTGAAAAACATGTCAGGCGGTATCGAGAGGGGCGGGGTGAACCCGCCCCCTGACGGCTTTTTCTACCAGTAATGAACGGTCAATTATCGATTCAGGACGAAGACAGCGATGATTGCGGTCTGCCTGCGGAGCGAGTGCTAACAGTTAGTTCGGTTTCTTTTAGCTCAATGCTGAATGTGAGGAGCTTGCTAGCATGGTGGAGAATCGAAAGTTTTTTCCTCTTTGTAAGTTTCCCTTACCTATGACATGACCGACCTTTAGACTAACTCGATTCAAGATGCGGATGTTTATAGAAGTGTAACTAGCGGCAATGACTTTTTCACTGCATTACCAACTACAAGGAGCATTCGAAGCGTTCTACAGGGCACAGCATTGGTTGGGGATTCCCTATGGGGGGTCGTATTGGGGCTGAGTTGATTTTTCTCGCTTTGCAGACGTTGTAAAGGGGAGGGGGGTCGTGATTTGGTCGTTGTTCGGGCAGGGGGGGTCGTATTATCTGGCGTAGAGTTACTGTGGTTCATCATTCGAGGGGTTCATGAATTTTTATTGGAATTTTCCGCTGTGTTAAAGGGTACTGATGTACGCCCCGTAGATGTACGTCGCAGTGCCTTAGTACACCATATACCCCCGCCCGACAACTTATTTCGCCGGTATGAAAACCACAATTCACATCTAAGCAGTCAGCCATGTCGCCATGCTTAGGAGATGGGGGTGGGGGGCGGGTCGCTCAATAGCTCCGACCAACAATCCCCATCGAATGCGCATGACTGTGCCCTGGCGTTCTAGATTATGGTAGTATGGGAGTGTTTTTCGACCAGTAGGTGTTCATCTCCTGTATCCTACCTCAATTCTCTAGGTGCTTCCGTGTGCACGTTCGAGGGTGAGTGGTTGTAGCCGAATCTGACAAAGCAGAAGCGAACAGTTTGGTGCGAAGTTTTTGGTCACTCGGAATTTCCTACTTGGTTTTCCACCTACCGTTTTCCACATTTTTAATCACCTGAGCAGTTTTTGAAAGGAGATAAAACTTAAAAATTTAGTGCAGAAAAACGAAAACAAAAAAATACCGCTCTAGAAAAAATCGCGACGGCTGCAAAGCTCCTGTCTTCATGTACTTAAATGACTAATTGTTTCACGCTGACCGTCGGTATATCTACCCGCCTGCTGGATCTGGTTTCACAGTTGCGTATACCGTATATGCCCACCTTTGCTCACTAGGAAATTCCGATCTTGCAAATTTTAAAAAAATACAAAAAAGACTATCGAATTCTCCCAACAGTGCAATACAGTGACTTATGGTGGTGACAAGTCTGCTCTTCCCAAGCCGGCTGCCTACTGGCGAGCTTGTTTCTGTGAGCTGCAAAACGATGCTACGGCGTCCGCGGGAGCCGACGCGCACTCGTACGGCCCGGCGAGTGTGGGAAGTATGCGAGGGTCCTTGAAATGCAATAGAACCGGGCACCGGGGGGGCGGGGGCGGACCCCAACAGGCGCCTCAGTTCAAAAGTCATACAAAGCATAGAGATAATGTTCCGCTTTAAGCAAACGGTGAAATGTTCGGGAACGCTGACGAGGCGCTCATCGTGAGCTGGGCAGACGGCACCTGCCGAGAGCGACAGACAATATATACGTAGACCTGTGCAGGCAAAGGCAAAGATGATCAGTTGCCAATCGAGGCCGACATCGGTCTAGGTTTCAAAACCCTTCTATGTGGCAAACCAAAAACAGCAACGGAGTGGCTGTAATAGTCTCTCAACGTTTCCGGGACACGATAGCAAGCGTAGAACGTTTGGATGTACAGCCCTGATGAAGCATCAAGTTCTCTGGCTATTCGGAACAGCGTCTGTACCATTTCTTTTCTGCCTATGCTCCACAGACGGGATGCTCCGAACTATCCGAGGACGAGTTCTGGTCCCTGCTTGAGGAGAAGACAGCTGAGGTACCGTCAGAAGACGTCGTAGTTGTTGCGGTGTGATCTAAATGGGCACGTAGGCCCACTGCGCAATAGACGGCCTACTACAGTTGTCATGTTGGTTTCGGTTATGGGTCGCGTAACGCCGATGGTGAAAGAATTCTGGACTATGCAGAGGCCCATAACCTGGTCAACGTGAATACGAAATTTCGTGCAAAACGAGAACTCCCTTTATTACACTGGGAGTGCCGAAACGCAGATAGACTGTGTCCTTGTTAGACAACGCGACCGAGGGCTCATCACGGACGCGAAGACGGTGCCGTAAGAGACAGCTGCCACACTACATCGCCCATAATTTGCACGCTAAAGATCGCAAAGCTGGACGGGTCGAGCGATGTGGTCCCGAGAGGATTAAATGGTGGCGCTTGAAAGAAAAGGAGGCAGCTGTAATCTCTCGTATACGACCATTCCACCGACCAAAATTCAAGCACTGTCGATATGAGGACTGGAAAAGTGCTTCTAAAGCGCGTATACGTGAGGCCGCGCTCCGAACTTAACGTCACGAAGCCGGGAAGGCGTAGAATTGATAAGCAGCCGTGGTTATGGACCGACAATGTCAAAGAAACGGTTCGCGAAAAGAAGAGGCGCTACCACGCGTTTCTTGCCGACAAGTCAGCTAGTAGCTGGCGTAAGTACAAAGAAGCGAAGTGTAGCGAAGAAGGCTGCGGCTGCAGCGAAGGCCGCCCACTTCGAAGATGTTCAGTAAGAAACTCGCATTCGCACGTGATGGTGAGACACGGCACCCCTCTACCGATCCTGCCAAGGCTCGACGGCATCGTCAGAACGAGAAATTTCCTGGCGTTAAATTGGCGAGCCATGGCTACCTTTCGCATGAACCGAAACAGAGCGGTCTGAGGCGATGGCACGAACTTCTTGAGAATATTTCACACTGGTAGAGTTTGCGCACCCCCCACCTCGGCCATCCCATTTCGTCCACCCTAGTGACCAGTTAGAAGAGAACGAAAGGCGGCTCTCAGGATGCATGAAGTCAGGCAACAGCAACCGGCGAACCTAACGGTGCTGGCAGAACCGACTATTGTGAAGCAACCGGCCATGGTGTTGGTACCTGTTTACGGAGTTCTTCACTCAGGTTGATTGCTTCAGAAGAAGACGCCCAAAGCATGCGCAGCAGCAGCACGACGATTCCGATTTGGAAGAAGAAGGGCAGCCCTGCGGACTGCTCGAACTACCGTCCAATTCGCCTGCTGTCACACAGTATGAAGATCTTTGAGCGTATTGTTTGACAGTCGTATTCGCGAAATCGTCCAGCTTTCTATCAATCGATGTGGCTTTCTGGCAGGCTGAGCACATCGGACGCATACGTTCGCGCGATGCTTCTGTTGGATGAGACAATCGCTAGAGAAGGAAGTACACGTTGCATTCTAGCTTTCTCTGCGCACCCGGAAAAGGCCATATCGACCCGTGTTCCTCGCTGAAATTATACTCGCCGTACGCTTGCGGCAACACGGCAACACTACGTCCCGCTCTCTGTCCTGTTCCGGAAGAGCTTGTTGAGTCAGGTGTGCGCATACTTGCACTCCAGCTCAAGAGCGCGTGTCACGCACCCTGCAGGCATTTCGGCAGAACTTTCCTATCACGAGTCGCGCAGCTACGATCAATGCTCTCTCCACTCCTTTTCGTGATCTCTTGCGATCATCTCGCCGGAATCTCTGAAACGATTCTTGAGCGCTCCTCTACGCAGATGATGTGGTGCTGGCCAGTGAAGATAAGAACGAACTCGAGCAGCAGGTGCAAGCTTGGTCTGGTCGTCTGACAAAATTCGGACTGAAGTTGAACATCAAGAAAACCGAGTACTTGACAACCGATACAAATGAGTCCGATTCCATTATGATCAGTGACATCGAGCTCACACGGACAAGAGCCTAAGTATCTTGGATCAGGAATTGTGTCCGATGGCAATTTGACCTCAGAGGTGAACTCTCGCGTGAGTGTCGCAGCGGAGCCAAACATGCGCTAGATGACTTGGAGTTTGTGTGACAAAACCATACCGGAGCACTCAAATCGAAGATTTATAGAACTGTGGTCAGAACAGTAGCGTTGTACGGGCTGAGTGCTGGCCTGCAACCAAGGAAGTCGAATCCCGCCTTAGTGTGATGGAAATGAAAATGCTACGTTGGACGGCGAATGTCACCAGTATGGATGGGATTTGCAACAATGACATAAGCAAGAAGTTTGGCGTAGCCTTCCAAAGTTGATAAAATGCGAGAATCCCGTCTCCGATTGTATGGCCACGTACTTCGCGCGAAGTCGGACACCGGTGCAAAACTGATCTCCAGCTCGAGTCGCAAACGAGCCGAGAGTACCCCAGGACGTGTGCTCGACAGCGCCTGCACGCGGAGCATTGGAAGATAGTTGGTGCCTCACTCTCGACACAGGCGCATTCGACCGGAATAGAATGGGCCGTAACAGAATCAGAGAGCGGAGCGCCCCGCTACAGAGCAGACAAAACGCTGAAGAATAGAAGAAGAAGAAGAAGAAGTGCAATACCGTGATATCTTGTCAATGTTGGCAGGACTAATTCGTCAGATACTGAGAGCAGTGCGGCTCCCATTTTACTCGATACCATATCGACCACTTGTGCGCTATATGACATCATCAGAATCCAACAGGTGTTTTCGTGGTATGTTTTCACTAATGAGTATCCTACAACAACAAGTCATGCTGCTCTACGACCATGTGCAAATGAATGAAAAATGTCGAGGTGCGTGCACAATTCTTTGAGATAAAATATCGTGCTGATAAGGTTACAAATATAAGCACTACACCGGTAGGTTCATGCATTCTGTTAGTTTTTTTCATAGAAGTTAGCTGTATAGCACAATTGTTCAAGGTATGTCTATCCTTCTGTACGGATGACCATCAATGTTTTTGGATCATTAGGCTTGCACATAGGGCAAGCTTCTGTTAATGGCTTTTTACAGATGTTCATAGAAATTGAAGAAACAGTCTGTTTTATTGCTTCGTTTCTTTATGGGAAGATTCCAAGGAGGTGCAGTAAGCTGCTAAGCAATGCTCGATGCAACTCTTTATAGATTCTGGGCAATCATAGGCTGTACAGAATTGTTTCAGCAGAGTTGATTCATTCGCAGAAGCCGTGGCGAACGGTCTCGTTGATAGAATCTACACACGATCTGAACCACTGAAATCATACTCGCTGGTGGTGAACGTCGACGAAAATAAGGACAATTTGATCGAGGAGGTTAGATAACATTTGAGGATTCAAGTTAAATTGCTAGGCGGGTATAACTCGCAACCAGCACACAAGCAACCACTCTAGTCTAGGCAGTCCTCTTCCTAAGTACACGTCTTCCTAATAAAGGCAGTGGCACGATGAATCCCCAAAGACGAGTAGGATTAATATGCCTAGCAGAACGGAATTCCGCGGCCCTGAGAAGGGGCTGCGCAGCGCCCTTTCCAAGGAAGGTACAGCGGTTATTGGCAATATGCCCACTGCAATCTCTGTCGAAGTTGATTTTTAAGTCATTAGGAACGAAGGCTTCTTCTTCGCAGGATTTTGACCGTTTCACTCCGTTCTTTCGCCATTTTCCCACTATATAGCGCCCTGCTAGCATTTTAGGCCGAGTACCAAATTATCGTGCCAACCGCCTTTAAGCCTGGAATACGCTTATGATAATCCCAAGGCAGCGCGCTAACAAGCAGCAGTCGTCACACTATATGTGCAACAACTTGTACCTAATGACAGACCGACCGAAATATCGGCAGACTAGCATAGCAAGTAAGCGGTTCATGTGATAGAATGATTGCTCGTCTTGAGATAGAGATAAGGGTATCATTATGAGCAAACAAATGAAAGGAACTTCATTTCTAGAAGAAAGGCCGAGGGCTCAGTGTAACTTTAACTTCGTAAGACACTTTTCGCTATCCCAAGACCTAGATGGTGGGATCTAAGGAAAAACGCGCTTGCGCTGATTTAATCGTCAGCGAAGAAAAGGGCAGAAGCAAGCGCCTGGAACTCTTTATAAGGCTCTCTTACTTTCCAACACAGTATAATAATAGAACAAAACAAAGGGTGTTTGGGCGAGTTTGCAGGACTTCTTGGCAGGAACTGTTCATGCGTCGATCCCGCCACTGCCTCGTCCATACGCTTTCTAGAAGAAACCTGCTCCTTGATGCGTGTTAGAAGGTTGTCTGGCGTGATCCTGTATTTCAACGTCAAAGAGCTGTGGATACTGTGTTTCATTCTTCACGAAGAATGCGTTATGATTGGAGGTAGTATTACCTAGTGGGCTGGGAGTCGGCAAAATCGTAGGTATCTAGCGCTCACTCTTGATTATTGGTACTTAGACATTCTGTATGGCTGTGGAAGTGATCTTCTTCAGCAGTCAAAGACTTCTACGGCTGGTTTAACTGTAAATTGTGCCTTCAGAAAAAAAAGCGATTGTCATTCGTGGGAGGAGGAAACGAATACAAAGGTCAAAGTGCTAAGGAAAATCTGGTGAAAACAGTAGGGGAAATCGTTGAGAACGCTCTGAGTAAGTACTACTGTTGGCTCTAAGTGTTACACAAACTTACGGCGGATAGGCACTCACCAGAGTGTAGTGGAGAAAGAGCCGACGTCGGGGATAGGCAAAACTGATGACCCACCGCTACATAGCGATGGCAGAACGAAACGATAGAGGTGGGGAGCCACCTGAAGGAGGTTAACATGCCAGAGCCCTGGCGTTCCCATACTTGTGATAGCGTCTCCTTATCCAAGAAGGGTTTCTTTACGCTGGGTGATGCTGGATTGTCTCTAACAAAACATTACAAGAGGAATTACTGCAATTATTAGGCAGTCAAAAGGTATTAAAGCTATTTTCCAACAACTATCATTGACGAATATAGCGATAGGGGAGAAACATGGAAGGAAACAGCAGGAACTATTATGCTCGGAAAGGTGGTAGAGATAACTCACTGAGCCAAAATAGTCAGTTTGTTCAGTTAATGTATTCAGGCTGCAACCTGCGCTTTTATTTCACCTCAAGAGTTGAGCGAGCTTCTACCAGCAAACTTGCTGCTTGAACTTCGCGAAGGTTCCGTGCATGCTGTAAACGCTGACACCGGTAACATCAAGTGCATCTATCCACTTCCCGGCTGCTGCAACGGTAAGATTGTTGAGCCGACTTCTTAGAGAACAACTGGTGTGTTTGAGGTTCAATAGCATTGGCACAGAACACAGCATAACCTTCAAGAACTCCTATGGTTGCAGAAGGTAGTCGTCGCAATGGTCGTCGTCCTGCCAGCAGAGCAACCGATTCTCGCCGTCGCCCCTGCTTCCGTGTTGAGTTTGCATATCCAAAGGGCAGTGAACGCGATGAGAGAGCAGTTGCAAAGCCTAACTTTGAGGTAATACTACAGCTTCCTGCTTGATTGTGGCCAATCTTGACAACAAATTGCAGGTGGAACGCAGCGAGCAAATCTATTCGGCGCAGGCGTTTGCAGCTACGCGATTCGGTTCGACAAAACTAAAAACCTACCAAGTGAGTATACACTTCACATTAGTTATTTTGTTGAACGTATGCATTACAGTCGTCGCAGTGCGGAGACAACGGCTACGGACATCATCCATTCACCATGCCATCCGTTTATGCATATTTGAGGTACGCTTCTGTGTTGCGCTAGTATGGTAGTACACGTGTCCAAACATACCCACACATATCAGTATCATATTACCAGTTCATCTTCAGACTGCTCGTATTTTTAAATGCGATCGCTTGCGCGACAATGATACAAGGAAATGAAGAAGACACTAACACTCAGAAAACCGAAGAATTCTCAGATGATGAAAAGGTAGGTGATAATAGGCATTAGCAAATCATATCTTGCTGTGTGACAGAATGGTGTACAAACTTGAGTTTCTCAGAGGGATTTCAGAGCTCATTTCATAGTTAAAAGGAGGGCCGTATCTAAACACATTGAGAGTAACTTCTTTCCAAAGTAGAGGAAAAAATTGCTCTGAATTGAACTTTCCTCAAAGAGGTGTTTGCAAGGAAACATTGGTGAGAAGTGCTCACGTCATGACCTCTGTAGATATGGCGAATTTATGAGATCAGCTGTAAGATGATAATGATCTGAAATTTGAAGGTGATTCACTGACAACCCTTTCATCTGTAATCCGCACCTATGGAAACCTCCGAGCAGACGACTAGCTCCTGTTTTCTAGTTCCACTTGTTTACTGGTTTCAATTGAGCGCTACCGTAATCCACTCTGCTCTGTGCCGGAACGTTCACAGTAGCGCACTTCAAAGCAGTAACAATGCATCATTATAGCTTTATTCACTTTATTCACTTCATTTACACAGTGTCCATGACTGTAAGAGGATTGTAAGTGCTAATCAGTATATATTTCGGACTTAGATGGCGTGACAAGTTAACGTGACCTGTACTCATACGATTACGGTAGCTTTCAATCGAGACTGGCGAACCTTTTTCTATCTCGCACACGCTAGTCTTTACAGAAGCAGCTGCTGGAAGATGCTCACGGTGATCGCTCAAGTAGTGGATTCGTAGATGATGATGAACTTAGCGACCGTTAGTTATCATCGAAACTTTCTCCTCAAAAGCGAGCAAAATTGTGACCAGTGCTCAAAAAGACCAGGAAGGGAACCGTGGTCGCATGAGTCCAGGATAAAATCGAAAGCGATGACACTGCAAACTAGTATGCACAGCCAAAGAAATCACTATATAACCCATCTAAGTTTACGAGAAACACTCGGAAGCATTAAAACTCTACCCCATCGAATGAGTGCTTCGCCGAATCTTACTGCTTTGGTTTTATCGCTCGACGAGCGACAGCCAGCTCTAGATAAGGCCCACTTCATCGCGCATCAGCTGTCGCAGCAGCGCTTATAACTTGTATTGGCATGCGCACATCATATGAGTTCGATAACTTCGCCAAGCTTTACTCAGTGCAGAGCACTGGAAAACTTCAAAATATCGTCAGAAAGAATATCGAACATCAACACCCATCATTTGGAAAGTGGCTATAAGACACGGTATTGACTATCGAGAAAGTGATGAAGATCGAACAAAATTATGGCAAGCGCTTCTCGTGGGAATGAGCCGTTTTGTACCTCTAGCTTGCACTTTTCCGGGGCTACACGATCAATAGGTATCCAACCACAGCCGCGAAATTCGCGCTGCGCGCTGGACTGCAAGGGTCTCACAAATTCGAACACCGTCCGAGGACCCATTCGAGAAAAAGGTTATGCTGAAAGCATACTTAAGGGAAACTGCCTCAGTATCTGCAGAGACTAGAACAAAGGATTGCAATGTTGAGGCAATTTTCGGCTTCGCGTAAATGGCAAACTAGGAGTCTTGAACGCGGTTTCCGAAAAAGTCACCTAATTGGTTATTACACTGGTCTAAATGCATTGGTACGATCATATCGACCTTGAACAAGATGTTCACACTAATCGCTGATTTTTCAGCCGTCAACGAAAAATCGGACACATCCTGTTAAAAGAAGTAAATGATTAAGCGCCGACTGGCGGATCGAAATCGGTTAATAAAAATTAAGAAAGTTCATCGCTCTCTGCTTCTTTTAAACTTTCAAACCTGTGAAATACCGGTTCTCACGATTACGCCTGTGAAAGAGCCTGAATCAATTTATTCACTGTGTCACTTCTTTTGCAAACGAAACGAAAGAAATAGCAAAAGTCATGATTTCGCAACAGCCTGACCCGCAACTATCTGTTCGAACAACGTTTCCTATCACGCAGAATAGATGCCTTCCACAAACCACTGTCCAGCCATACTCATGAGGGCTACATGTCTCCCAACTAACAATAAGGTCCGACTGAAGACACATCAAGCGACAACTGGGTTAGTATGGTCGTTTTCGGCGCAGACGCCGAGTCGTATCAAAGGGTTGGGTTTGGCGCGTTGCAAGCTCGTATCCATCAATTGTTGTCGCTTATTCGCTCAAGAATTATTGCTGGACGGGCTATAGCCGCGCCGATTCCGTTCTCCCTGACGCGAGCGTCTGCAGCGAAGACGAGTGCACGATTCCTTACGAGCAGACCTGGAGCCGCACAGAGTAAATATGTCTATCCTCTTGAAAACGCGTAATGGGAGCAACAGGGTTTTCTTCTTGGCTCTTATTCAGTTTTTCTCCCAATTCGACAGGTTCGTTATATCTTCCATTCAATGCATATACTTTCCCTCCCCGCAGTTTCGTCACTTCTTGGAAGCCCTTGGTGTGCGAACAGTGCCTCAGATCCTGGTGTGAGGAGCGAATGACCCCATTAAAGCACCACTTTCCTGCCCGGGCTCGATAGTGGTGAATATGCTCTCGCCAGAATCTGAAAAGTCGGGGAACATCCGAGATTCTTCACCTCAAACACCTTTTCAGCTTCACTACAGGTCCACGGATTGATGAACCTTTCGACATGGATTAGCTAATTCTGCTTCGGAATCTGCCTTTACGGTTCAATTTCAAGAGCAGATTAATCATTACTTCTTCTCAATCTCGGGGAATCATCGACCTGCAGAGAAAGGGGACCATGCTTTCGCGACCACGTGCACATGCTGTTATGCGGGACCGATTTGTAAACATAACATTCGTTCACATTCCGTGCCGGATGGAGAGGGAACACACTGCTACCTCACCCCTCATGTGGTTTCTTTTCTTTATTCCAATTTCCTTTGTTTTTTACCACACCACATAACAAAGCGATTAGAATATCTTTAAAAATTCATTTCCCTCTCGCCATGGCATTCCAAAAAGATTGACTTTTAGCCGTACAGTGTTCTGGAATGCCTCCAGAACCCTTAGATAACATGAGCAACGATTTGATATAGTAATGACGTGTGATTATGACTTAGCCATCTTAGATATGCAAGGTGGAACCTCGCCCAAATTCAGAGGTACGCCGGATCCTCAGGCACTCCTACCACGAACGTCCAAAGCTGCGACCAGAGAGGTAAACCCCTATTGTTATAACTATCCTACACATATAAAACCTTCGGTGTTCGGCCTGAGGGG